ATTGACCTAGTAAAAGAGTGTAAAAGCCAATTTTGAATAAAAACATTTAACTTTAATAAATATATGAATTAACAAATATCACAATAAAGCACATAATTTAGATCATTATGATTTAGTACTAAAGTATTTGCTAGTATTCACAAACAACAGCAATTTTGTGATGTACATATTTGGTTGTGTTTAATATCCTTTATTCTTGTGTTTGAGTCTTTAAATAATTAAATCTTAATGTAGGTAATTTAAAGTAAATAAGTTAATATTCTTTAAAAATGTTTCTTTAGCAGTAGCCTCGTACCGGTAAGTAGAATTGTAGGGCCGCCCTCCAATAGACAGAGTGATGTCTAGGTAAGATATTCAAGAAGTCGATGGATGCAGTTAGCACAGAATCATACTTTGTGGCATTCCTAGGGGGTTTAGCATTGGAATTGTAATGACTGTAATCATGATGATAATAATAGTATCATATTTTGCCTAATTTCCGCACTACTACCCATACTATTCATAAGTGCGGTCGAGCTTTATGCTAATAAATTTTCAGGTTTCAATATTATGTTAATTAACTCATAATCGGAAGAAGTCGCACTGAAATATGAAGACCAAAATTTGTCAAATATATAATTTAGCAGCAATTTCTGAATTGCGCGAAGACTTTGGCGCCGCGACTGAGAGACGTTTCGCGAGAAGTACTCTTCTTGAACCACAGCTTAAGGTTGAGACTATTAATGAACCACGTTTTGTAATAGGACGGCTAATGTCTTTCAGTTATTCTTTAATATTGTCATCATCATTATCATCCTTATTGCAGCCCTTCACATGTCCACTGCTGAGCATAGTACTCCCCCAAAGAATACCATAATGCACGGTCCTGAGTCACCTGCATCCACGAATTCTTACTTTTCTTACCAGGTCGTCACTATATCTAGTTGCCGTTCAAGAACCTTTTTTCCCATCGGTTTTCATTGATTAATATAAAATGCTATTTATTTCGTTACTACAACAAAACGATGATCACCTTCCATAAATTAGTCTTATGTCTGAAATATATTTATATCCTATACCTTTAAACGAGAAATTCTTGTATACATATTATATGTGTATATGTATATATATATATATATATATACTATATATATATTATGTTTGTTTATATATATATATATGTATATATATATATATATATTCATAAAATTTTATGTGCATGGAGTTTCAGGGGCAATAAATCGATCTAGCTAGGATTTATTTTTAGAAAATGTCTTTTTGTCCATGTTTTTAGGCAATGAAAAACTGCTACAATATCGTTAGAATAGTAAGAAGGTAAATTTTGACAGTTTATTAATGATTACAAATAGCTTTCAAGTTCCTTTCTTTTTTGAGAAAATCTATTTTTTCGAGCCCTTTTTTTAGTATTTTTTAAAAACACGAAAATTTAAATTAAACTAATTGCACCCATGATGTTTTATTCAAATAACCAGTTCAGTTTTTTTTTATTATGTCGCTAAGATAAAAAATATTATTCGTATTTCATCAGTATGTAATTTGTATCTAAATATAATTTCTAAAACACAAGCGAAAACCATTAAAAAAAAAACCGAGCGAAAAATACCGAGCAAAGCTCGGTCAACCGGGTACTTAACTTTATGCTTATTAATGTAATTTTATTGCTTAATATATATATTTTAAGACTATTTTTGATGCCCTCTTTATATTGAATTTAATTATTAATAATAATATTGGGCCGTCACAATCCACACCTAAATTTTATGTTAATGACCCACACAGTGGAGTCATTGATATAAAATTTTACTATATTGAGAGCATATGCACTACACTCAAAAATTTGAACTTATGTGTATCTGTTCTTTCCTCTTTCAATCTGTTACAATTCAGTATATATTTTCATTCCACCTACCCCAGGGAATGGCCGCCGCCATACACCCCTTCAACCACAACTATCCCAATGCGATAAACCATTAATTGTTATCTTGATAAATTTATTGTATATTATGTCGTTAATATAGTGGTTCTCTTTAGTTTTTGAGTTACATTTTAAATATTTAAAATATTAATTCAGCAATGTTGCCTTTATATGTACAGTAATTTGAATATGAGTTGAACTACACACCCACAGGATAAATGTTATTGAGCCATTCACCTTGACCCAACTCCACAAATTTATTCAATAAATTTTTTTTACAAAATTATCTTACAATCAATATTTACAGATAGTCATTAATAAAAACAACATTTTTCTTATTTTTAATTAATTTGTATCTCGCTCATAACTTTAATAATTTTATATTTATATTTCTAAAGGCCACCCATGGGACCAAATTATATTACAGTATTTATTCTAGAATGTATATAAACCAAACCTATTATTTAAAATATTTTAATAAATGAATAGCATTAAAATTTCCTCTAATTTCATTTGTTTCTGGGTTTGCTAAAGTATATTTAAGTACATTGTCAAATGGTACGGCTGCTATTATAATATAATACCCCTCATGCGCCAAATTAAATTTACTGATAACTTTGTTATCTGCATCTGATTTACTAGATCTAGAAACTTTTACTAATTCGCCAATGTGATATTTCATTAATTTATTAAGCTTATCAAACGTTGTGTTTCTAATGCAACTTGCCTCTTTTAAATTATTTCGCACTTGTCGTCTAATTTGTTCGACATTATGTTTGTTTTTAATATTTAGTTTAAGTGGCTGCTTGAACTAATTAATGTGATTGAGTCAGGCGTACTGACCCAAGTTTATAATTATCTCTATTTAATTCAAATTATTACAAACACCACACATGAACATTATTTGTATTAATAAAATAATATAATAAAATACTTATAATTAATATTTTCTTAAAAATTTAACTTAAATCTTGCTCATAACTTTCGATTATATTGAGATCATTGAGATGATCTCAATATAATCGAAATGAATCGAATCGAATGAGACACACACACAGACACAAAATGGAACGTCCTTCAATTAATTGGTGAGTTCTTATAAAATGTTACTGGATGAGTATTTCATTTTCCATCTTCAGCTTTTCTATTGTTACGTTATGTACGAGTATGTTATATAATTCATTCCGTTTAGGATCAGTAACATATGAGGTGCTCGCCCCGTACACCTCTTCTTGGTTTACTTTAATTTGGTGATCTTTCGTTTGGTTAATAAACCTTTCTTCGAGAAATTATTTTAACCTCAAAGGTTTTCACTGCATTTTTAATTAACTTTTGAAGCATCTTAAATTCATTTTTAGGGTAAGCTTTCACTAAGTTAGAACTTTTCTTTGTTTTAGCCATTTTTATATTTATATACTTTTTCAGTTTTAACACTGTTATGTCTTTCACTTGAACAATGTTACTGGGTCTTCTCACTTATTTCACTTTATATTTTATTAAGTATTAACTATGCACACACCTTTTATAACAAACAATCAATATTAATATTAAAGCCCCATCCCCAGACTCTCAACCACCCCAGCAAACACCATCCTCCGAGACACCTTTCTATTTCACGGACTACAAATTGTAGGCATAACGCCTACTTCATAATTCTTATATAGACGACCTTCTTTTTAAAATATATCCTGGTCATGGCACCAAATTGTAACGCTCCCACCTCTATATAAATATGTATGATATTGAATATAATTAGTTCTCCTTTATAATAAAAATTATATATATGTGACCAGGATTAATAAAATATGTTTTGATCTTTCTAAATGATCTTCCTAAAGGTTTAATAATAGGCCGTTTGTAATAGGAACTTACATTTGGCATAATTTTTTTTACCGTAAACACAAGCCTTTTTTTCGTTTTGCGATTTTTACGCCTTGGGCACACCGTAAATATTCCAGGAGGTGTTTCAGTTTCGGGAACATCTCTTTTGTTTGAAAATCGGGTTATAATCTGTTTAAGGGGATATGATATATTTTGCAACGAGCTTCTTCGGTTGATGTGTTCTTGGGTTAGTGTGAGAGACAGCTTTTTCAAATATTCCCTCCTTGTGATCAAAATATCGCAATTTCCGTTATAAATAATTTGACTATTGATACCTGTTATATTCAAAATGGAAAAAAATTCTCAGTGGCCACCTACAGGCAACTCGAGCTACAGAATATTCTTCTTCCAATCTATCGACAACATCTACCCCTCCTTTGGTTTTATTGTAAAATGTAATTATTTCAGGTTTTGCGTCATCTCCAGTTTCAGGATCGATTCGGTCGTCATTATGAAGAGTACTAATCACAAAAACATTTTTTTATTCTTTTTGTTTGGTATATAGGATTCCAGAACTTTGCCCGTATAAAAACCAAAAATACTACTGGGCTTTGGTCTTATTTTAGTATTCAAAAACATAGATGGAATTCCCCTTTTATTTTTGCGTATAGTGCCAACCAACGTAGTACGTTTAGTCAGCAATTCGTCGGCCAATGGAATAGATGTAAAATAATTATCTGCTGTAATATTTCTTCCAGAATTTAGAATATCTTTTGATAAACGAGTAACAACAGCAGATGGAGAATTATTGTATTTGTATGGACCATTTGGTTATTTCCCTTGATAAATCTCTAAATTACTCGTATAATATGTATGCGTATCACACAGTGCATACACTTTTATGCCATATTTGGCTGGTTTGTTAGCAATATACATTCGGAATTTGCAACGACCCCGGAACGATTCTAACATTTCATCTATGGTTACATTTTTTCCAACCAGATAGTTAGCCCGACACTTTTCGACAAATAAATCAAATATTTCACGAATTGGTGCAATATTGTCACACTCAGATCTCTCCTGACGAGTCTGTACATCATCAAATCGAATGCATCTGATCAAAAACATAAATCGGTTGCGATTCATGACAGCTCGATATATATATCAGGAGCGGTACCATCTGTCTCCCACATTTCTTTTAAATTTAGGTGATTCATTTTCTTTATACCAGCCATGTACAAGAGCCCAATAAATACTTTTATCTCTATGATATCCGTCTCTTTACAGTCTCTGTCTCTTGCATAACGGTCCATGATTTTTTAATGTAATTATTTGTGTAAAAGACAATTTTAGTGAGCATGTCCTCACTTACAAAAAGGAGAAAACGTTCAATAATATGTTTAGCGCCTTTGGCTACTACTGGTTTTACCCCTGTTCTACTGTCAACTATGTTATGTGACCTTGTTCTTATATTGGTACGTTGTGGACGATAATTCCACTTGGTAATTTTATCCTTGCCTAAGTAATATAGACCGTGCTCGGATTGACTTGAATAATTCTCACCTTCATCTTCGCATGATGACTGTTCCGTGTCGGTGCAATGTTCACTGTGATCACTATCTCCGTCACTCTCTACTTTGTCAATCCTACTATCTGGGTCCTCTATTTCTTCCGTACCTTCTTCCATCAGCCACGCCACAATTTGTTGCTCCCTTTTATCCATTTACAATAAACATGGGTCTAATTTTATTATTTTAAATTATAGTTTATACACAAACCATCACTGTTAATTTAAAAAATGACATAAAACGTAGAATATAAAATATTAAACATTTGAAAAAAAAAACTTATTCACAAAAACAATACTTACATCGATACTCGCGTGAAGAGCGAAACCCCGCGCGTTGGAGGTGATTCGAACAAACCTTCCTCTATGACTGAGTGGAGCACACTAACCCAAGGCCAACGTATGTTGCTAGACGGAGAGGGAATAAAACTCAGCTACACGGCGCAAGAGACTGTCAGGTAGGTTTTTGACAGAATGGCGCCATTTTTAAATTTACCGTGAGCAAAATGCTCATAGCGCGAGTTCTCGCGGGTTAATTCTTTTAGGTGTCTTTTGGAAGAATGAATATTCACTAGAAAAATTGAAAGCTGTTGGTAGCGCCTTATAAGCTAAGTGAACCTCGTTCACGAAGACAGGGCTCGAGAAAGGTTAAGAACATAAAACATCCCTATTGAACTTGTATCAGGTTTACATTATTAATCCATTATTATTTATCCCTTCCCGCTTGGAAAAGGCTCAAAATATACTTATACAAAATACCCGATACAAGGGCTTCGCTCTACTACATGTATTTAAAAAATGTATGGGAGGCACACGGCTCCACACAAGCCGTGCGCGGTGAGCGCCAACCATTTTGATGCACTTCCCCCGAAGGGAACGCTAATTCGAGAACTGGACCGTAGTCCACAGCAAAATAACTGGCGAATCAGTAAAAGAGGCTCGGCCCCTTGTTAGTGCGTAAGCACAAACATCGACCGAAGTCGCGCATGTCAATGCGTGTAAACGCCATACAGAATACGAACGAATCCAGCCACAGTGAATATACGTCACACGGTTTAGGCAAATAGGCACACTGGCCGTAAACACTCCATGAGCGCCTCCACCTGCCAGAACGCCGCTCCTGCAGACGTGATGTAAGTGTATGGCATCACCACCAGTTGCATGATCAGCACGGCTACTAGCCGCAGAGCGTGTCATGAGTCTACCGCTCACCTCAAGGGAATGGGGTCCCACGTTGTGCGGCTTTCGGCCGCAGCCTTGAGAGTCTCCTCAGATCCTCCCGCTAGCTACCACCCGCATGGTGCTCCACCAACCAATACAACGGCAGACATAGCCAAAAGGCAGTTATAAGATAAGAGTAATAATTCGCCATCAGAAAGGGTTTGTGTCACTGACGTTGAGTAAATGCATTTTCGGTCATGTTTGCCTCACCCACCAACAAGTTATTTAACCCTTTATAATATTATTTCCACACAGTTGTAGCGATACGTTAGAAGATTTGTTTTTTTATAAAGTAAGAACCTATAATTGGCAGTAAAAATGTAAATACTTAATGATTTCTTATATTTACGCGAACACTACACTTCCCGGAACGTTGATGCTTCACATCAGCTATATGTTCTTTTACGCGGGTTTTAATTGATCTTTTTGTTTGTCCTATACAAGAGAGACCACATTCACAATCAAGATTGTACACTCCTGCATCTTGTAGAGGAATATGACACTTGACGGATGGTAGGAACTGACTAATCTTCTTCGGCGGCTTGTAGAATGTTCTAATAGAAGCTCACTTCAAGATATAGCCAATCTTGTCTGTGACACCACTAATGGATGAGATGCCTGTACTAATGGATACATTATTTAGTTTATTAGTAAATAAAATAAAATTTCCTTTTAACACTAAAAGACCAAATTTTTTAAAAGGAAACATAATTTAATCTCGTAATTCAATTTTCCTACTTCAATGAATCAAAAAATCTTTATTAAAATACCCTCAGAAATATGACCCGAATATTTCTGCCAGGAATTAAATTTTCGAGGCTGAAGTAAGACAACTAAAGTGATATATCCCATGGTAATAACGCAAGAGCTTAAGTTGCGCAGGTGAGGTAATTTTTCTCCGTAGTTAGACTCGGTTTTCTGCCTCGAATTTCGCCTGGATGGGTATCACTCTCTTGATTTCTTCTGTATCGAAGCACCAGTGCATGTATGTGCTGCTGTATTCCAGTCTGAAGGGTATAAACCAGTATTTAAATAGTATTCCATCTTGATGCACGAAGTTGAGAACGCATCCGTAACCATACTTGTTTGAAGCTAGTTGCGGGTATCTACGGGCAGCAGAAGCTACTTACCATCAGGTGCACTCTAAGTTCGGCATCTAAGGACTAACCAACGGTGGTCATCCAAAAGCGCCTAACTCTAAAATCAGTAATTGAATTAATACTAGTTTTTACGGAATTTATCGCGTATATTTAACTTTTTAAATATCCGACCTTTCGAAAGCTTTACAGTACTCATGGTCACGGGCGGGACTGAGATGTTCAACGTCCAGATGTCATAGTTAACCGCGGTTACCATAGATTAAAATTTAACTTTCGTTCCGATCAACACAGTATGAACTTATGGTATCATGAAGTCTTGCAGTTGTATGCTTGGGTTGGGATGTAATTTTATTTATTATAGGATCCCAAGCAGATGGTAGCACCCAGCCATCTTCTCTATTGAAATTAGGATGTTTTTTGATTTCAATAGCCTCGCGAATCATCCTTGGAAGGAATCGGTGTTCTTTAGCGAGGATTTATTGTCTATCAAATCTGATGTAGTGACGGGGGCGATCCTGTACGTGTTCACAGACTGCAGACTTCCCGGAGCGGCGATTCTTTACATCAGCTATATGTTCTTTAACGCGGGTTTTAATTGATCTTTTAGTTTGTCCTATGTAGGAGAGACCAGATTCACAATCAAGCTTGTACACTCCTGCATCTTGCAGAGGGACATTACACTTGACTGATGGTAAAAACTGACCAATCTTCTTCAGCGGCTTGAAGTATGTTTTGATGGAAGCGCGCTTCAAGATGTAGCCAATCTTATCAGTGACTCCTCTAACATATGGCGGTACAGCAGGTACACGCTCGACTGTGGCCGGCTTCACTCGTTCACTGTGACGTAGGCGCGGGACCCGAAGCTTGTTGTCATGGAAAACTTGCTTGACATGGTGGAGCTCGGCAGCCAGGTGTTTACTGTCTCAGATCCCTCGTGCTCTCTGAAACAGAGATTTACCCACGGTAGCTAACTGTGACGGAACATTGGATGATGAAACAATTAGGGTTTTATCCAAAGGCATCAATTTTGCTATTACACCACGCAAATTACCGTACGAAGAAATTATCTGTAGTGTCGAGAACTGTTTATTTAAAAACAATATGCGGAAAGAAGATTTGGAGGCGATACGTCAAGACATTTTATCTATGTTACGTCGATGTTCAGTGCCTAAACCGAATCTTCCCAAAGACGAATTTATAGCGTTAAAGAACCTACACAATAAACCAGAACTTACAATTCTCCGCGCAGATAAGGGAAACGCCACGGTAGTCATGGATATAAAGTCAGATTATAATTCTAAAATACAAGAACTTTTGTCGGATGTAAGTACTTATAAAAAAGTTAAAAACGACCCAACAAATAGCTCACTAAAAACAACTAGTGACCTCATAAAGAAAAACTCCGAAAAATTAAATCTGGACGTAAAATGGATAATATCTACGTGCGCCAAATCACCAAAATTGTTTGGGTTACCAAAAATACACAAGCCCAATGCTCCATTACGTCCCATAGTGAGCCAAATCGATTCACCAACTTACAGATTGGCTCAACACTTAGCGAAAATACTCTCACCGCTCAGGGGACATACAAGAGCACACATAAAGGATTCCTACCACTTTGCATACGAGATTAAAGACCTACATCTTTTTTTTTTTTTTTTTTTATAGAATTTGGTGACAAACGAGCACACAGTCCACCTGATGGTAAGTGGTTGCTGCGGCCCATAGACATCTACATCTATCCTCCATTAAAAATCAAAATGCAGATGCGTTGTCACCCGTGAGGACTTAGATGGAATGCCTCGTTTCCAGTAAAAAGGGTCTCCGGTTCTCTACACTCACCATACGAAATACAGCAGCATTAAGCTACTATTTCACGCTGGTATTCTGTGAGAGCGTGGTCCTTCCCCGGTCGAGCCGACCCATTCGTGCTACAACTATACTACTAATATAACTGCAGCATGGCTCTACCACGTAACAAAACTGGCAGACAATGAAACTATGGTCAGTTTTGATGTGCAGTTATTGTTTACATGCTTACCTGTTGAAGACTGCATCTCAATTGTAACTAGAAGGCTGGAAGAAAACAAGATACCCGTAGAATATGCAGTATTACTTAGACACTGCCTTACATCTGGCTAGCTATTGTGGAAGGAGGAGTTCTACAAGCAAGTAGATGGTGTGGCGATGGGATCACCTGTATCTCCCATTGTCGCCGACATATTCATGGAAGACTTTGAGGAGAAAGCCCTGCTTACTTCTCCCATAAATCCAAGATTTTACAAGCGGTACGTAGACGACACTTTCACTATTCTACCTTTAGATAAAGTAACTGCATTCTTAGACCATCTCAACTCTATAAATTCAAAAATTCAGTTCACAATGGAGTTAGAGGCAAACAATTCCTTAGCTTTTCTAGATGTGTTAGTAATTCGGAATTCTGATAATACCTTGAGCCATACTGTGTATAGAAAAAAGACCCATACAGATAGATATTAACGGTGATTCTTACCACCATCCTTCACAGTTAGCTACCGTGGGTAAATCTTTGTTTCAGAGAGCACGAGGGATCTGTGACAGTAAACACCTGGCTGCCGAGCTCCACCATGTCAAGCAAGTTTTGCATGACAACAAGCTTCGGGTCCCGTGCCTGCGTCACAGTGAACGAGTGAAGCCGGCCACAGTCGAGCGTGTACCTGCTGTACTGCCATATGTTAGAGGAGTCACTGACAAGATTGGCTACATCTTGAAGCGCGCTTCCATCAAAACATACTTCAAGCCGCTGAAGAAGATTGGTCAGTTTTTACCATCAGTCAAGTGTAATGTCCCTCTGCA